AGTTTAATGTCTTATTAATCATGTCCCAAAGTATTAGTTCTGGAAGTGGTTAACAAGTTGTTTATTTAACGTTATTTTTCATAGTTCATTCTATTAAACAATGTATGCACAAATAACTTTGAAAGGCAATTACTCAAAATCATGTTTATCTTGACTCTAAGAGTACTGTACTTTCACTTTCCAATAACTTAGGCTTGAAATGTCCAATTTGAATGAATGACTCCTCATTTTTAAAGACCACATACTCAGGTATCTAAAAATACCAATAACTTGAATTTCAATTTTTGCTACAACTTAGCCATTTTGCCACAACATGCCTCATATGTGTGTTTACTACTATCTTTACTATTTTTTTCATATGTACTTTGTAGTTCTATTTTTCTTACCATATGGAGCCATTACTTTAGGCTTATGGTATCGCTTGGATTTACTGGCTGCTCTTTGCAGATACCTGTGGCTACTTCTCAGAACCCTTTCTTCACTAACAATAGGATTGCACAATATTGCTGCTTCCCTGGCAGGATCTGATGTTGACAGACGACTTGATGCATTCTCATTTGTACATGAACACAGCGTCTTCCTTGGGGTTGCTCTATCTAAATCTAATACACTATGTATACTATGCCTGTATAAAAATAGATAATATATAACATTATAGATTGTAATGACCTTTCACATTAACAGCTTAACTCCATAGTTATTGCAGAGTATTAATGCAGTTGTCTATACACCAGGGTATACATTACTGGGGTTGTGATTAATGTAAATTCAAATATATTACAAACACCAAATCTTAGCTGTAAGGAAAATGAAGTTTGCTTAAGCTTTAATTGAAAATAGGTGAACAAAACTGAAGATGCTGCAGTGTAAACTACTAATGCCTTCAAATTCTGATACTTTTCAGAAAATGAAAATTTTCTCGTTTCATCCATGTTACTTACCTTTTTCTACTCAATTTACAGTTACATTTATTTTCTAAATCTGTTCCAACAAACCTGAAAAAATTGAAATTTAATTGAAAAGTTAATTGATAAGTACTATATTTTTAAAAATTCTATTTATAAAAACAATCTTTAAAGTGAACAATAGGTGCTGACTATGGCTAACATATCAAGACTACAGTATTATGTAATTATTGTATCAATCAAGAAATACATCAATCATAATTTGTAACCTTAGAAGGGACCATATGCCAGGTAGTATCTACCAGGTCTTGGGATTCCATAGCTCATCAATGGACAGGGATGAGCTTGAATTATTTTTCTAGTGATTAACTTATAAAACTGAATTTAAAACTAAAATGTTTGTAATTACATTAATGTGTAAGTATTTTTTTCTTACCGGTAAAAATGTGAATTACTGTCAAAAAATGTGACTTTCTTTTCTTGTTGATTAACTGTTGTGATGTCTTGATAGACCTTGGAATCTAGCAATAGCTAAAATGTAAAAAAAAATTGTCAATATTTAAAGGACATTGATAAACATGAAAAGGATTATTATCTAATATACATAAGATATCTTATAAGTATAAATGTGGTTCTGCAGATGACTTGAAGCATAGTAATAATTATTGATCACAAAATGTCTGTTACAATTCTTTCCAACACAGGTTTGAAAAGAAAGCACATTAACCACCGAAGCAGAGTTGACATTGAAAATCAGGATTCATCAATAAATGAATCTTCAAATCATTACCATCATAATTAGTTAAAGTTAACTACTATATTTGAATAAATGTCCTGATTTGAATAAATGCCCCCTCTAGAGCCTCCTTTGGAATAAACAGCTCCGTCGAATAAATGCTAATTGATGATTAAATGTGTGTTCGATTACTAATATAATGCAAGCTTTTTGTGTTTTTAGTACATTTTGATGGTAAATTATTAGGTTTTAAAATGCCTATTCCAGAAATCTTATTCTAAACTATTAAGATTATGAAGTCATTCAGGCATAATGAACGGTAACCAACGTCCAGAGGGTGTGGTCACACCAAGTGTTGTGACGACACGACTGTGGTACTCTATATTTACAGTGAAATTAAGGGGTGTTTATGTGGGTATATATAAGTATCCATTTTACACAAAATAAACTTGAATAAATGGCCCCCCCCCCTTCAAAAGCCCTTTTCAACAATAAACACCCCAGGGCATTTATTCAAATAAATACGGTACTTAAGTGACCAAAATGAAAGAATTTAAAATCAACGTAGGCCTATTATTATAATTACAATAATCAACCCACAGAATGTAACAATTGTACCTGTGCAAGTTTTACTGATTTTTCTCGTGGAACATCAGCTTCAAAACTGCCATTTTCTTTCAAATAGTTCTGAAGAACATCAGCAACCTCTGACCCTGAGAAACACTTTTCATATGTTTTCATCAAGTGACGATGACGCTTTGGAATGACTTTTTCATGGACATCTTTGATGATTTCATGCCAAATCTTGGTAGCCCTAAATGGTCCTGGAGTGAATGATATAAAAACATCACACAATGTGACATGCACTACCTTTAAAGCATTTACTAGCAAATGGAAGTAAAAATACAGTACCGTATCTCTAGCAACGACGTTTAATATTTAACCATTTAAATCTGATTTGTTTTCTTAACTTTTAATGTCCTACATTTTTTTTTTTTTTTAAACAACCAGTAAAATTTTGCCCAAGCTCAGTGTTCTTATTTTTTGGCTGATTTCAGACTAAAAAAAGTTCTTATTTTGTTCTTATTTTACAAAATTTTCTAACATAGAAGATTACTATTGTACAGCATTTGGCAATACACACTGTACTGAAATGTAGGTAAATGTGGCCCTGGAAAAAAACGGCCCTGAAAAATAGGCACAAGAAAAAACGCCCCGGTGAAAATGGCTCCAAATGACAGGTACAGTAAGTACAGTATACCTATTGTAGGGCTAGGCCTACTGTTTTACATAGTCACACATAGGCCTACACATAAAGGTACAAACAGATATTTTTTGTGTAAAAAATGATGATCCAATTCAGCTTTAATGAAGCGTAGGGATATCTTCTCATACTTCCTAAGCAAACAAATTGGCAGGTCTTCCGAACTAAAATCCTTAATGATGGAACCAAACGGACGCAAATTGATGAAAAATACAACACATTTTAAGAAAAGAACTAAGGATTTAATTGTAGTAAACATGTTTCGGGTGTTCTCTCTCACCCATCATCAGTACAAACTGAAAGGCGAAATAAACGGAAAGAAAAACCTTGCCATTCTTAACTAAGAGTATTTATACAAAGAATGAATGAATATTAATTAGTGAAAACAAATTGTTACCAATTAAGGTAACGTAACGATCGTTCTAGATAATCATATGCAAGGTGTATAGAACACCTTGCATACATTAGTACTGTATGCTAATTGAAAAGTTGAAAGCTTAAATGTTTGAGTTGAACGTTGAGATTTGGACTGTTCCATTTGATGTGTAGTGATTCTTTTATTCGTAATCTAATTTCACTGTTGTCCTGGTCAATGACGTTGAAGCAAGTGGTATTAGCTAATGTTTTGCATTTTTTATTTTCATTTAGATGTTTTAAAATGTGTGAATTTTTGTCTTTGCCAAGGTGTTCGTCAATCCTAGTACTCAAGTGTCGGCTAGTATAGCCTATATAGGTGGAATTACATCTACCACATTTGAATTTGTACACTACCATAGAGCGAAGATTACTAGGGATTGCGTCCTTGATACTGAACATGTTTTTTATTTTTGTAGTGGTGAAAACAATGTTTAATTTCAATCCAGTGCAATGTTTAGTTACAATATTGTGTATCTTGTATTTAATATCATCAGAATATTTACCAATAAATGGAAGTTTGAAATACATGACTTTGTGTGCATCATCATTAACCTTTGATTTAGTGTAGTTAGTTACACTATTATCAATGTATTGTTTACAAATTTTATCAATGACATATGAGGGGTAACCATTTCTTAACAGTGTGCCTTTTAGATTCATCAAATCATCATGGAAACCCTTCCAACTATTATTGATTTTATAAATTCTGTCAATAAGTGTTTTGATTAGTCTCACTCTCAGCTTATAAGTTTGTGGACAAAAACTACAAAATGCCAAAAGGAGACCAGTGAAAGTACTTTTTCTGAATATCGTTGTTTTAACTTTGCCATCATTTTCTTTATGTATAAGAATGTTTAAAAAACTTAGTTTATTGCAATTTTCATTTTCCATCGTGAAACTTATATTGGGGTGTCTGGAGTTGATAAATTCGAAAAACTCAGTGGCGTCACTTTGGTTATTAAATAGACAAAATGTATCATCCACATACCTACGATAATGTAGAAAGTGTGGACACTTGGGATCAGAGAGCCATAGTTTTTCGTTGGTTCCCATGAATAGATCCTAGCGGATCTATTCATGGATATTTTTTGGTTTTTCTAGTTTTTAAAAATAAAAATCTCATTTGAGTCTTGACATTTTACCTCAGCCTCAATTTGTTCTTATTTTGTTTTAAATTTTTAAGCAGTGTATCTATTATCTTGTGTTTATCGCGCTCAACTATAGTATTTATTAACACCATTCAAAACGGCGAGCCATGGCCCATAGGGCCTAAGCCTACAATGTTGCGTTCGACGGGGCGCAGCTGCCGAGATTGCTCGCGGCCGAAGTTGGCCAGGCCTAAGTAGGTACCTAGAGGTAGGCCTACCATCCTCAGTTATTTTGTCAAAAGCCAATATCTAACCTGTTTTAGATTGTTCTTCCTCCTGTACAGTTGGAGTATTTTGAAAGTATTGAAAACTCAACAATGTTGCCATAATTTCATAACTTTTCAAACATTCGCGGTTGTTTTCCTCGTCCTTGGTTCTTCCAACAAAGTGTACAAAGGTCACTGCTGATGACAGAACTTAAAATCATCGTCAAAACATCATGGGGAGAGGAAAAGTATATAAATCCTTAAATCAGCAAATTAAACAACAATAAGTATTGTTATAAATTCGTTATAAAATTGTTATAAATAAATAATAAAGTTAGTTTAATTACTACAAACTACGGTAAAGTAGATAAAAACCTGAAACAACGACTGGATATTATTAGTCTTTACCCTGTCACTAAAATTAGCCATGTGTGGGATTGAGCTGAGATGAATCTGGGTGAACAGTGAATTCGTGTATTGCACCACCGGGAATCAGCAATTGTTTGCCTGAGAGCTAGCTGCATATGGTAGGCCTAGGAATCATTTTACTATAGAAAAGTTTTACTTTGGTTACAATTTATATTACGTTTAGTTATTTTATGACTATTGAAGAATAGGAGGAGTCTTGTGAATGTTATCAGTTGAAAGCTGTTATACTACTATAGAACTGAAATACGAATTTTTAGCTAGCTAGGAGGCTAGGCCAACCGAGCGAGGAGGGTATGTACGGTACTACTACTTGGTGGTATCTGTGACATGTAACTGTATCTCTAAATAAGGCAATCAAACACTACCCAAACCATGGAGGTGTAAAACCTCAAACTCATGGAAAGACTGAGTACTGGCAATGGTTTTGATTGACAGGTCCAACCCTAGGTAGAGTAATTTACATTTAAGTACAATTCTGATAAGTTATAAGTAACAATTGTCAATTGAGAAATATTTTTAAAATACAAATACTGTAAGAATAAGATTTAAGAATTTGATTCTCTGAGTGATGAGAAAAAGACATTACAATTTACAAATCTAATTTCCCTCCACTATTTCATTTTGACTTTCTTTTTTATGCTTTATCTAGGAATATTGCTTTTCATTTATTACATTCTTGTTTCTGTTCTGAAAAATGCATAGTGATATATGTAATATCATATATGTGCTACAAACACCACTGATAAGCCATTGACTTTTCTATTGGTTTATTATATATTGTAGATTGTTTAAAAAACTAAGATGCCACCAAAGAAGAAGGCAGGACCACCCAAGGCACCACCCCTTATTGGTAGGGTGGGGACATCACTCTCCTGTGGTATTGTGGGTCTACCAAATGTAGGGTACGTACTAGCCCTTTTGATTATTATACTTTTGATTATTGTTGGTAATGTAATGTACATTTGCTACATGTATAGTGCATAAACAAAGTCTCAATGCATTTATTGTTTTTCCTTACTTGTTGATAATTGTTAATTACAGGCCTGTATCCAGGGGTTCCGATGGAACACCCCCCAAATTTAAAAGGTTCACTTTTTTAAGAGAAAATGTACTGAATATAAAATTTTTTCTGTAATGGCAATCATATCTGTGGCCATAATGTTATGTCAATTTTGTTTTTGTTGTATTTTTTTCTCTTTTTGTTTTGTGACTAATTATTGCTGACTTGAATGTATGTTTGGCCTCTCTGATGAGGGGCTTAATTCCTTTTCCCCGCTGGCACCGCCATTGGTCTAGTAAGATGTTTAGAATCATACTCAAATCGATGCTCAAAAAATTTTTTACAAAATTTCCCAATAGGAAATTGGTGTGTCGAACAGGACCTAGGCCTTCTGGCCCCTATTGGCAACACCACTGATTGAAAAACTATGAAATTATTGTTTTTATCATTGTTTTAGTCCAGTTACAAATTATGAAATGTACATTTAATTTTGTTGGTCAAATTGAATTGAAATATGTTATTTTAATGTTTTTGTTCTTACAGAAAATCTACCTTTTTTAATGTACTTACCAAGAGTCAAGCTTCTGCAGAAAATTTTCCATTTTGTACAATAGGTGAGGCAGAATTTGTGACTTTCAAAATAGTTCTATTTATCTTGTAACAATTTAGGATAAGCAACTTAACTCAGAATTGTTACTAAAAATCTATAAATAGGGCTGTTTGATATTTCCAAATAAAAGCTGGATGTTTATAACATAAATAATTTCATAATGATAATAATTATTTAACCTTGTTTTTCTTCTTTGTTTTATTTCCTTTCTGGATATGAACCTGTCTTATGCTGGGTGTGTTTACAGATCCCAATGAAAATAAGTATTTTCCTATTTTATTTTTGAAAATTCACAAGTTGTGATGAGAATGACTTTGCAAGTTACAAAATCAATTTGTAGGATGCAATAGTTCTGTCTAATGTATTGTATATGCAATTTTATAATTATGGTCATCCAACACTAGAAGTACTAACTGTGTAGGATAAGTCCTATTTCTTATCACCATAGTAATTATGAGAAACACTTTGATATTTTCTGTGGAAAGAGCTATTATCGATATTGTTGCTATTGATGCTATGAAATTTTCTGTTTTATCTTTTTCAATGCACGTAGGGTACCAGTACCTGACGAAAGATATGATTTCTTATGTGATTACTATAAACCTGCAAGGTATTATATTGCTAAGACCTAACTTAATGTTGATTGTAATTGTAATATTTATTTTAATTGTTGTTAGTTATGTTAATTATAATGGTTTTTTTCAGCATGTATTGTTACTGCTACTTGCTCTCAGCACTTAATATGACATTACCCTGTATAATTAGAAAATATAAATATTAATTTAATATTATAATAGAATTTAATTTAATATAACTGATAATGATATCTATGTTTATTATGCTAAAATTTAGTGTAAAAATTACACAAATTATAATTCATCATTTACTTCACAGCAAAGTGCCAGCTTTCCTCCATGTAACTGATATTGCGGGGCTAGTGAAGGGTGCCCATGAAGGCAAGGGACTGGGAAATGCTTTCTTATCTCACATTAAAGCTGTTGATGGAATTTATCATGTGATACGTAAGTTTGTTAGTCTTTTGGCCCTGTGGATGAACAGTACATGTAATTTATGTATTGTGTTGTATTGTTTTGGCTGAGTGAAATCAAAATACAAATATATAAATTTCTCAAGTAATAGATTTAGGGGTCCCAGGTCTCCCGGAACTCACAGGAGTCTCCTGGTAATCGGTATGGTCTCCTGCACTCCTGCGAGCAAGCAAAAATCTCCCGCAAATGCACTCATTTCCAGCAAATTTAGTATAAAGGAAGCTAATAGTTTTTTCACTACCACACAACTAAGAAACCAATCATTTCATCAGGAAACTGATTTTGAAAGTAGATTTTACAGTGTAACATTGGCATTTTTTGGCTTCTATAGTTGCCTATTCTTTTGCTCACCTTAGCCCATCCATGCGGGCGGAAGTGGCCCTTTTTCTGGCACCCCCCCCCCCATGTCATTAACCAGATCTCCCGGAAATGGCTTCTCCCAACTTGGGACCCCTGTAGGTTATTTTTAAAGTTTTAGAAATCAGATTCAAAAACAATAATTTGCATTAAAGAGAGACTTTGTAGGTACATAAACTTACAAATGCTATGGCATTATAGATGATATACAGTATATCAGTATTACAGTAAACATTGATGGAAATGTCAGTCCTGACACAATAATTGAACTTTCACCCTAGTATGATAGGCTTAACTGCCTTAGTATGATTTATTACTTACTTTATTTTTATTCATATTTAATTACTTCTTAGGCACATTTGAAGATGAGGATATCACTCATGTTGAGGGTGAGGTTGACCCAGTGAGGGATCTTGAAATTATCAGCGAAGAACTACGGTTGAAGGATGAGGAATTTATTGAGGCTCGTGTTGCGGATATGGAGAAGAAAGTGAAACGTGGTGGTGACAAAAAAAGCCAACCAGAATTTGTAAGTTTGTCAGGATTAATTAATCACTGTATTTGTATGGCAAAATTTCAGTAACATTCTAATTGATACAAAGAAAACCACAACAAATATTAATTTCAACAGTGGTGTGCTTCTATTTTATACATTCATAATAGGGGTGAAGAGGATGGTATCGAACAAAATACATACAAAATGATATGGCATACAATGCCAAGAGCCAAGAACACAATCAAGCTTGGCCCTTTCCATGATTACATAAATCATCATTCTTTAATTAATTAATCCATAATAGGGTAAATATATTTCTATGTGTAATTGATGTTATTGTTTTCCTATTTATACATTATATATCATATCATTTAATTTATTGATAAAACATACAGAATACAAAGATAAACAAGATTACAAGATAAAAATGCAAGCACTTGCAAAAAGTTTATAAAATTATTAAAACTCAACAGGATTGCTCAAAGGTACAAAATTAAAAGTTCACTGTCAGGAAGGTCTCCATGTTTAATCTGACTTATAAAATAGAATTCATAAATGATGATTGATTGTATATTTTTTGGTGGTACCAGGCTTAAAACCTTTAAAGTGCTTATTGGTATCACCAGACATAAATAAGATGTGTATAAGAGACAGGATGGAACACCCCCCAAATTTAAAAGGTTCACTTTTTTAAGAGAAAATGTACTGAATATAAAATTTTTTCTGTAATGGCAATCATATCTGTGGCCATAATGTTATGTCAATTTTGTTTTTGTTGTATTTTTTTCTCTTTTTGTTTTGTGACTAATTATTGCTGACTTGAATGTATGTTTGGCCTCTCTGATGAGGGGCTTAATTCCTTTTCCCCGCTGGCACCGCCATTGGTCTAGTAAGATGTTTAGAATCATACTCAAATCGATGCTCAAAAAATTTTTTACAAAATTTCCCAATAGGAAATTGGTAATCATTTAACATTTGCTTTAACTTTATGTGTAATTATGAATAAAGTGCTTAAATTTTGTTAATCTTATGTAGTTCGCAAATGGTATATTAAGTATGTCATCAGAGAGATGCCAGTTCATTAACGGTGGACAGGGAGTCACAAGCCGTTGATTAACATTTTCCACACTTTTAACCTTAACGAAATGTTGAGATCATATTACATATTATATATTTTATAGTACCATTACTATACATGGGAACCTCCATTTTACATCAATTATACAAGGTAGCAGACTTCCATCACATTAATATACAACCACAATATTAATAACAAGATTTTGTGAAACGACATTTAAACCATCGCTTACCCCGGCTTTGCAGCTCCTGAGCAATACGTTCACAATAACCAAACAGTACAATCACTCTACCCAGTGATGGCACTAAATAGAAGAAAATAAGCTACCTGTACTACACTGTAACAATCATGTAGATAGTTAACACTGGTTATGTAATATTTACCATGTAATAATTATTTACCTATCAATCATCATCTTAGAATAAGAACAACAATTCTCTTATAGTCATTAACAATAACACAATAACAATTTCAGTAAAGAGTTATAGTAATAACAACCTACAGTATGTAGTACTACCAGTACTACAACTTCACTATTTTAATTACTTATCTTCATTTATTATAATCACCCTGACTTTATGACCGTAAATGTCAATACATCAACTAAGATTTAGTTAAAGCCATTATATCACAGTACTCAGCAATAATACTGAATATACTTTCACTATCTTAACTACTTCTCAATTAATAACTGGACGATGTAGATAATACGCCGTGTGCAACGGTAAACAATAGCTGTTAATATGCTGTGGAGTAGCGCCCTCTATAATTATAAACTAACTCCCCTAGTAACCAATCACGCATCTCGTGCATGACCGTGATGGAATAAAATGGAAAGTATCTTAGGCCTACGAACAAATAATTGTATTTACAGCACATAATAATGTAGTATTTTCTATAGCAGATGTAGGCATACAAACTACAATAATCCAAACTGTAATTAATACGATAAACATTAACTAATTAAGCCAACAATCAGCTCCGAACTCTAGTCAATACCCTAGTATACGATGAGACTCTGCCTAGCTGATTTGTATTTATCCGCGCGTACGTATGTACGCTACGTTCTGCATGAACATGGCGAGGCAGCCTAAGGCTTTCACCAAATTTCTTCATTTAATATTTAGCTAGTGCAATATAATCTAGCTTTCGAACAATAATAAATCAATTCTAAAAACAATCAACATACCTTCAAAGTGCAAATTTCCTAAATATTTTATAATCTTGATAGTTTTATAACTTTAGTAGCTAGCTTTGGTAATTTAGTTTTACTGAACCGCGTAAAGGAGAAAGATAAAAAGAAAGACGATGTAGTATGGAAGGCAATTATCGCCTTCGAAAATAAATTTACAATTGTACGTGAATCACCATGTTACAATAGATTTAGGGGTCCCAGGTCTCCCGGAACTTACAGGAGTCTCCTGGTAATCGGTATGGTCTCCTGCACTCCTGCGAGCAAGCAAAAATCTCCCGCAAATGCACTCATTTCCAGCAAATTTAGTATAAAGGAAGCTAATAGATTTTTCACTACCACACAACTAAGAAACCAATCATTTCATCAGAAAACTGATTTGGAAAGTAGATTTTACAGTGTAAAATTACCATTTTTGGGCTTCTATAGGTGCCTATTCTTAAAAATTTGCTCACCGTAGCCCATCCATGCTGTGCGGAAGTGGCCCTTTTTCTGGAACCCCCCTCCCCCAATGTCATTAACCAGATCTCCCGGAAATGGCTTCTCCCAACTTGGGACCCCTGTAGATTATTGTTAAAGTTTTAGAAAGATTCAAAAACAATAATTTGCATTAAAGAGAGACTTTGTAGGTACATAAACTTACAAATGCTATGCCACTATAGATGATATACAGTATATATATATATATATATATATATATATATATATATATATGACCTAAACATTGATGGAATGTCAGTCCTGACACAATTATTGAACTTTCACCCTAGCATGATAGGCCTAACTGCCTTAGTATGATTTATTACCTACTTTATTTTTATTCATATTTAATTGCTTCTTAGGCACATTTGAAGATGAGGATATCACTCATGTTGAGGGTGAGGTTGACCCAGTGAGGGATCTTGAAATTATCAGTGAAGAACTACGGTTGAAGGATGAGGAATTTATTGAGGCTCGTGTTGCAGATATGGAGAAGAAAGTGAAACGTGGTGGTGACAAAAAAAGCCAACCAGAATTTGTAAGTTTGTCAGGATTAATTAATCACTGTATTTGTATGGCAAAATTTCAGTAACATTCTAATTGATACAAAGAAAACCACAACAAATATTAATTTCAACAGTGGTGTGCTTCTATTTTATACATTCATAATAGGGGTGAAGAGGATAGTACCGAACAAAATACATACAAAATGATATGGCATGCAATGCCAAGAACCAAGAACACAATCAAGCTTGGCCCTTTCCATTATTACATAAATCATCATTCTTTAATTAATTAATGCATAAAAGGGGAAATATATTTCTATGTGTAATTGATGTTATTGTTTTCCAATTTATACATTATATATCATATCATTTAATTTATTGATAAAACATACAGAATACAAAGATAAACAAGATTACAAGATAAAAATGCAAGCACTTGCAAAAAGTTTATAAAATTATTAAAACTCAACAGGATTGCTCAAAGGTACAAAGTTAAAAGTTCACTGTCACGAAGGTCTCCATGTTTAATCTGACTTATAAAATAGAATTCATAAATGATGATTGATTGTATATTTTTTGGTGGTACCAGGCTTAAAACCTTTAAAGTGCTTATTGGTATCACCAGACATAAATACATTGCCTGTCTACTGTACGCTTTAATTTTATATCATTATTTTACGACGATGCATTTATGTGAATAAATGGAATTGAATTGAAAAATGCAAAATTAAAAATTTTGATAATAAAATAAAGTAAAAAAATGGATGAAGCAAATTATAATGGAATTTCTACTTTTTTCCTCTATAGGATGCTCTTGTTAAGATTCAAAAATTTCTTGTTGATGAAAAGAAGTGGATACGAACACAAGAATGGAGTGCTTTTGAAGTAAGTCTTAGTTTGATTGATTGATGCTATATATATAGTTGTGCAGTAAAATTTAATTTAACATTTTTAAATATTTTATTGCATGTTTCCAACAATTTCTGGTATTTTATTTTTCCATAATATTTTGTATTTCAGATTGAAGTTCTTAACAAGTACATGTTTATCACATCAAAACCTGTTATTTACTTGGTTAATCTCTCAGAAAAGAATTACATCAAAAAGAAGAACAAGTGGTATGTATACTGTAGCTATA